ATTGATGATGTAATGAAAGATTGTATGATAATATATCAACCTTTAGTCAAAACATCAAATGGCCTGAACGACAAAGAACGTGTTAACTGGTGGCACTGAAATCAACGAATAATAAAATATATAATTAACGTTTATATATGGAAGATTTAAGGCTTAAGATTTAAGATGTCATTTAAGATTATTTCTAACTAATAATATAAAGGTGACACGAGGTGTAAACGGAGCGTTTTAAAAACCATGACAAAACCAAGCGTCTCTGCTCGAAAGAGGAGCACGTTCGAAGATTACGCCAAGATCTTTCGCGCCTTACTGGCAAGTTGGAGAGGAAATTGCAATCGACTTTGCAACGACGAGCTCTGCGAAACCATCGAAGATTTGACACTGCCGAGCAACGAAGACTGGCGCTATCGAATCTATTACCGGCTGGTCCAACTGCAAAGAGAATACGATGATGTCAGTTCCGCAAAAAGAAGGTAATGTCTGCCTTGCCTGTCCGAGTTTTCATTCGAAAGGTAGCGGAGAAATTATTTACTAATTTTAAATTTTCTTCTACGCTGTGAAATGCGAACTTTTGTAAAATTGTGTGACGATTGGTACATTAAATCCCCGTTTCGCGAAAAATTATAAATCAGCCATTTTGGTACTTCATAGTGTTAATCAAGCTTGTAACTTGAATCCCGTCCAGTATCGATCGATATCAGTTTTCCGTATTATTTTGTCAACTTGCGTCCGAGCTCGATCTCGCCTTTCATCGTATTATCTCGTCACGTTCCGCCCGGCTGAAACGCGAAATTACAGCGAGTTGATCAGTGAATCGTTCGGCAAACAAACGAAAACTGTAAAACGATACCGCGCGTGCGAAACGAGATGGAGAAGTAAGTAAGACGCGTTTCGCGAATCGAAATGCAAATGGATGGTAATTCGATGAATGTAATGAAACGTCCGAAGGGCCGAGGAGACTGGATCGGCAAGAGAAACGGAAACGGAAACGGAAACGGAAACGAGATCGCAAGTGGAGGAACAAAAGAAGAAGAAGAAGAAGAAGAAGGATTGGGAATGGGAGCCGAAAAGGCAGGGACACGGTTTGAAGGCTAAGCCGCGAAAATGTGAGAAGGAGGAATCGAGGGGAGGATCGTTGACGAGGATCGTCGGTAGGATCGGCGGTTCGATGATAGAAACGTGCGTTGAACCAGGCTGGCGCGTCAATGACATCCTATTGGCCGCAGACGTTCTTCGAAGGGTTCAACCTGCCCCCGAGTATTCGGACGAGGCCGAGATGCGTCGTGTGTTCGGACTCGTTTACGACGTTCTTCGGTGTAAGTCGAACAACCGAGTTCTTCCACTCTGCTGCGACCTTTTCCTTCTCTTTTCTTCTCACCGTGTTTCTCACCGGATTGCCCAGACAAGAAGATATTCGTCCGTGCTCTGGAGGACACAGGCTTTTGGCAACGTAACGCCGCGATCAAGGACCAAGAGAAGATCGTTTGGTTGTTGTTGCACGACATGCAGGGAAGGAAATTTGCGACCGAGATTGCCGATCTGGAAGAACGTGAGAGGATCTTCGAGGTAAGCTTACTATAATAGTCCTCTCATTTAAGAGTCCCCACCAATTCAATGTACAATGGAATTGGGACTATCTACCACTCTACGCCATCTTTTTTTTTGTTTTACGTAGAGGAAATCTTCATAAGACACCTGAGTCTTTTAAGGGAAGAACCAGGTAGTGTCGGGTTTTTACCGACTAAAACCCTTCCACGATGGCCATCCTTCGCACGTTGGGAGAGCTCCGGGACCTTTTTATACACACAGAGCTCTCCCGTGCTGTTGTCTTTTTTTTCGCCCAAACAAGGACTCGAACCCTGAACCCTCAGATTAACACTAAATGTACCGACATTTTATATATATCTATCTTACCATAAGGGGTCAAGTGATCCCTCGCGGTACATAAGGTATGCGAAGAATTTTTCTCGGTAAAAAATAAGTTAAAAGAAAAACAGAAAACGAGAAATTGAATAATCAGATAA